TCTGGCCACTGGTGTAGGGGGCTCGCATACAGAGCCTGACCTGCGGCCCCGGGAACAGGAGACCTGGTTCTTGAGTGTTGGGCAGGCAGGGAGGAAAGAGAGGGATGTGTGTGTCCCCCCCCCCACCGCACTGTGGCTGCTCAGCGAAGCTGGAATTAGGTCAGAGCGGCCCTGACAAGACGCTCCCGCCGGTCGCTAATCAGCTCTGACAGGCGGCGGAGAGGGGAAGCCGCACCAGCCAGCAGTGGACCGGCCAGCATCCCGCATGTCGTCTGTGTGGCTCCCTGTGGGAAGCGCATGGCACGAGCCTTGGCGGCCAGCAGACGGGGGGGGGGCTGAAGCACAGGAGCCATGAGTTCAAATCCCTTCTTCCCTGCTCCCAAGGTAGTCACGGGCTAAATCGTGCACGTCACGTTTCCCTTTATTTCTATCCCGCCCTTCTCGCCAGTTGGGACTCCTATGCAGCCTGGGACATTGTTCTCCCCTCCTCTGTTCCTTTCCCCACAACAACCCTGCGAGGGAGGCCAGCCGGAAAATGTGTGAGGGGGCCAAGGTCACCCAGTGAGCTTCTGTGGTAAAAGTGGGGAGCAGACTGGGTAGCTCACCTCGTGTGCAGGGCGCAGGAGAGGCCGACGGGAGTTCAGTCCGCGTCTCGTGGTCGCTCTGGGCCACTCCGTCCAGCTCTCCTCTGGTGCAGGGCTTGTTCACAGGGAGACCCTCTGGAGCCCCCTGGCTAGCACACAGGGTGTGGGTAGGGGAGGCCATGGTCCTGGGGTTGCTGACCTTCAGACTGGAGAGACCAGGTCCCCCAGAGGGAATGACGGCTTTGGAGGGTGGGCGCCGTGGCCTGGTGCCCCGCCAAGGTGCCTCCTGCTCGCCAATAATTTCTCAACCCATAGTTGGCAGCAATCCAACTATGCTGGTCCCCATCCTGCTATGAAGATCAAATGGTGGGGGGGGAGTAGAGATGTGAAGGCCTTCCCCCCCCCCATTTTTTTCCTGAAGCCTTTTTGTTTTTTTCCAAAAAATTGGAAAAATTGAAAAAAGAAGAGAAAAGGGGAAAAAATGATTATGGAACGTTTTATTTTAACATGATGAATAAAATATTTTAAGACAAGGTGTTCAACTATTTTCCAAATCATTTCTAAAAAATATGTATGGTATCAGATTGATCTAATTTCTGTGCACTGAGGACAAGCAGGTCCTAGGTTACAAACTGAACTCTCCAGTGCAAGAACAAGATGCATTTCTTCCTTTAGGAGGTGCTACTGTCACAAGAAAAGAAAAAGGTTTCAGTTTTGTTTTTTGCATGTGGGTGGGTATTCTGTTTGTAATAATTGTTTGGATACACTCTATTTTTTAATATGCTAGTTGTGATCATTTCATGCCAAGTAAAAATGTCCACAGTTATATTTTATGTTCCTAAAGTAACAGAATGACTTTCAATCTGGAAAAGAAAAAAGAAGTGCTAATGTGGCATTTTTTTCAATTTCCCCCCCGAAAATTTCCGTTTCCCCCCGAAAACAACCCGGGGGGAAATGGGTTTTTTCCGAGCTTCAAAATTTCCAGAAATTTTACATCTCCGGGGGGGAGGTGGCAAAAACGCTTTTCTCTCATGCTAAGCTGGGCTTCGCATCCCCCATTCTGAGCTTCTCCAGCAACAGTTGTTCTTTGAGGGATGGAAGAAGTCCAGCGTGCCCAAATGGAAGCATTGCCCTGTCAGGCTTTTCCACTCACCTGCCCATTGGCATTTTCCCTTAGGGGATCACCGAATCACACAGAGTTGGCAGGGGCCCGACAGGCTGTCTAGTCCAACCCCCCCCCCCCATTCCATGCAGGATCAGCCTAGAGCATCCCTTACAAGGGTTTGTCCAGTTGCTGCTTAAAGACCTTAAAGCCTGTTTGGTGTAGTGGTTAAGTGCGCGGACTCTAATCTGGGAGAACCGGGTTTGATTCCCTACTCCTCCACTTGCACCTGCTGGATGACCTTGGGCAAGCCGTAGTTCTGATAAGAGCTATCCTTGAAAAAAGAGCAGTTTCTGTCAAGAGCTCTCTCAGCCCCACCTACCTCACTGGGTGTCTGTTGTGGGGAGGGGAAAGGAGTTTGTCAGCCGCTCTGAGACACCTTTGGGTAGTGAAGGGCGTGGTATAAATCCAATCTCCTCCTCCTCCACCACCACCTCTCCGGGCAACTGATTCCACTGTGGCACAACTCTTTACCATACAAAAGTTTTCTATAGTATTCAGCCGGTTCCTTCCCACTAGGGATGTGCATTCGGTTAGTCTGAACCGAATGCATCCCCGAAAATGGCCCATTCGGGCCCCTTTCGGGCTGCTGCGAGCCTATTCAGATTCTCTGATCTGAATTGGCCTGCCGCCGAATTTGGCAGCCGTTCGGGCCTATTGTATCCTATGGGCCATTGAAGTCAATGGCGAAAACATGGGGTATATTCTGGGGGCTGGAGTGGAGGGGGTTTGAGGGAGAGGCTCTAAACTCGCAGGGTAGCTGCTGGAGCATCTCCTCAAGATACCCACCAAGTTTCAAGAACATTGAACCAGGGGGTCCCCATCCCCTCCAAACAGGTTGCCCCAATCCCCTCCATTGTTCTCTATGGTGGGGGAAAAGTAACTTAAACCCATTCTACACCCAGTTTGGTGTCATGGTTAAGTGTGCGGACTCTAATCTGGGAGAACCAGGTTTGTTTCTCTACTCCTCCACTTGCACCTGGCTGGATGATCTTGGGCAAGCTGTAGTTCTGATAAGAGCTGTCCTTGAAAAAGAGCCGTTTCTGTCAAGAGCTCTCTCAGCCCCGCCTACCTCACAGGGTGTCTGTTGTGGGGAGGGGAAGGGAAAGGGGTTTGTAAGCCGCTCTGAGACTCCTTTGGGTAGTGAAGGGCGGGGGGTATAAATCCAGTCTCCTCTTTCTCTTCTTCTTCTTCTTCTCCTCCTCCTCCTCCTCCTCCACTTGCACCTGGCTGGATGACCTTGGGAAAGCCATAGTTCTGATAAGAGCTGTTCTTGAAAAAGAGCAGTTTCTGTCAAGAGCTCTCTCGGCCCCACCCACCTCACAGGGTGTCTGTTGTGGGGAGGGGAGGGGAAGGGAAAAGGAGTTTGTAAGCCGTAAGCCGCTCTGAGACACCTTTGGGTGGTGAAGGGCGGGGTATAAATCCAATCTCCTCTTCCTCCTCCTCTTCTTCTTCTTGCGAGTCCTCTCCTCTGCTGCCAAGAGGAACAGCTCCCAGCCCTCCTCTAAGTGACAGCCCTTCAAATACTTAAAAGAGAGCGATCACGTCCTTCCGTGCCTCTCTTGAAGTTACAGGAGCCCTTTCAGATTCCGGGGCTGGCCAGTCTTGAGTCCGTTACCAACCTCCGACTCTAGGAAGCCGCCACCTTTTTAAAAAACAGGACTTCAGTGCTGACCCAACAGGCAGAAATCCACCCGGTGGTCCTCTTCCTAGCATGGAGACGCATGTGTAG